TGATTTGCTGCATGTATTAGCATGTTCTGTCCATCATAGCCGGCGCCGACAGCAGAACTGGACCGCACGGATGACATGGTCTATCATAACGTGATGGAGATGGTGAAGGTCGTGGTGCAGCTGAAGAACGATGTCAACACGTTACCAGCCTCAGAGTACGTCACTGTGGTGAAGGTAGGATGACTTTGAACATTGTATTTCTTAATGCTTAATGTATGGAGTCGTGTTTCTGTGTTCAGTAAGGTCATTATTGTCTTATTTGGCAGTCGGTAGGAATGACGTTGCGCAGTCTGATCCGCAGTGTGGACGACATCCTCCCGACTCTACATGAGTCCATCAGAATGGAGGTAAAGCATCGTGAAACTAAAGCTATTGTGAATTACTCAACTTGAGCTATAAATTCTCAAAGCTTTTTTCCAAAAAATGAAAAAAGTGTAACTGTTACTTTTTATTTCAATTAGATTGTTAAATTGTACGATTTTCTCATATCGTGAGATAAATGACGACAATCAAGGGCGTAGAATTTAGTAGGGACACTAGGGACATGTCTCACAATATCCAGAAATTAATAAATTGTCCCTAGCAATAATTACTAGTTAGCAGTATACTGGTTACCTCACCTGAATATGTTCGTATTTGTGTTGGAAATTTGGATATTTTATTTGTAAACAATACTTTTTACACTTATTTCAGTTAATTTCGTAAAACTAGCGAGCTAAGCCAGTAGTAGTACTGACAGTGTTATGTAAACATGGCTGAAGGCGAAAAAAAACAAAAACAGAGGAACAGACAAAATGATTCAATTGAGTGAGTCATTTACTCTGGAACCGCTCCGATTGATTCAAACTCCATTCACTTTTAAAAACCAGATCAGAAGAACCATTCATTTTAAAACCATTCATTAGAATCACTTCTAATGATTTTAAAAAGCACGTAGTGATGGGTGAAACAGAGCTTTTCGAAACTCCAAATCAGTTAAAAAACATTGCATCGCAGAATGATTGACTGTTTCAAAGCGCTCCAATCGGATCGCAGATAATTTGATTCAGATCGTGACTTCAAAGCACATATTGCAAATCATTTGAATTAGTTCGGGACTTCGGAGCGCTTATCGCGAGTCATTTGATTCAGATCGGGACTTCGGAGCGGGTTCATGAATCTTTTGATTTAGATCGGGACTTCAAAGCCTGTATCGCCAATCATTTGAATTAGATCGGGCTTCAGAATGCTTATTGCGAATCATTTGATTCAGATCTGTACTTTGGAGCGGGTTCATGAATTTTTATTCAGATCGGGACTTCAAAGCCCGTATTGTGAATCATTTGAATTAGATTGGGAATATGGAGCGCGTATCACACATCATTTGATTTAGATCAGAACTTTGGAGCGGGTTCGTGAATCATTCAGATCGGGACTTCAAAGCCTGTATCGCGAATCATTTGATTGAGATTGGAACTTCGGAGTGTGTATCGCGAATCTTTTTTATTTATTTATTTCTTTTTTAATGAAACAGTACAAAACATCAAACCATTAAAGCAGTACAGTTATAAAAACAAAACAAAGAAAAATAAAGTAAGTATACACAGATACAAACCGCAGACGTTTTCCTCTTTTGTTTTTTATCCGCCATCTCTATCTCTCTGTCGCTCGGCTCGGCTAATGTCCGTCCCATGCACTGAACGCTCTCTCCTCCACATCACGAGTAGACACGCCCCTTATTGCTGATTGGCTACAAGTTTGTTTTGCTATTCGGCCCGAATCAGTTTTCTAAAGTGTTTTTGAAAAATCACATACCCTGCCTTTAAGAAAATTAACCATGGTTTTATTATAGTAAAAGTGTGGTAGTGTAGATTACCACTTGTAACCTATAACCCAATTTTTTACTACAAATACCATGGTTAAACTATGGTAAGTGTAGCAAAACCATCGTTAATTTGTGGTCACCATGGTAACTATTGTAACCATTGTGCTTTTTTAAGTAAAACCATGGTTAATTTTTGTAAGGGATGTGTTACCAGGTTAACAAAAAAAAGTAATACATTTACACATTAAGTGGACACATAGAATACAGTTTTTTAGGATGAACAGAGCTTTGGATATTTTCCATATACTTGTCCAGCTCAACTCTGAATAAAAAAGAGAGGCAGATTTTAGAGCCAGATATGTGAAACACATATCTTATTAATATATATTCATATATATAGACACAAATTAATTATTATATTTTGCTGTATTCTCTTTGAGTATTTAAACGAGAAACAAGAAAACATCTTAAAATGCTGCTGTAATGTTGTTGGTTTTACATAATCCAAATTGTGTATTTATTGTCTGATGAATATGCTAACATAAAAAGCTCGGTTTATGAATTATGAGTATGTTAGCTACCGTAGCTATAAATAAAGACTTTAGATGACATGAAACTGTGGTCAAAAGTTGATCATAAATGCGAAAATGATGTGTTGTCTGCTGTTATGTCCCCACCAATGTCAAAATCAAACCTATGCCCTAGATAATAATAAATGATGAAATTTTAACTTTGAAATGCAAGAAAAAGAGTTGTTTCCAAAACTAGAAAAGGTAAATTGCGAGTTTTTGTCTAAGAACTGTGACTGTTTTTCTCGCAATTTACCTTTTTTATTTTTTTATTCCATGCCAGAAACTAGCTTGACTTTTTCTCTCAATTGTGAGTTGACAACTTTTAAGAAAGAAAAAGTCATAATTGTTAGATCGTTCGTTAACATCTCATAATTCTGACTTTTCCCCCCTCAGAATTGCAAGATAAAAGAATTATCAGATAAAAAGTCTTTTATAATTGCCTTTATTTTTTTTTCTGGGATGGAAGAGAATCCATAATATTTCTATACATTAGAAAGTATAAAGTGTTGTTCTGGCTGCTCTCTGCTCGTCAGATTGAAGGAACTCAGAAGTTGCTGAATAAGGATCTGGCCGAGCTGATCAGTAAGATGCGTCTGGCTCAGCAGAACGCCGTCACGTCTCTGAAGGACGAGTGTAAGAAACAGATGCTGGCGGCCGCTCACACGCTGGCCATGGACTCCAAAAACCTGCTGGACGCTGTGGACCAGGCCCGAGTGCGGGCCAATGTGGCCAAACTCGCCACACCCTAGATCTGATCCCTGATTGGCCGTCAGACAGACTGTTTCATCCAATGAGAAAGCTGGAGGATGAATTGAACTTTAAATGAACTGGTACAACTTGCTTTATTTATGCTTCTGGATGATAATGAAAGCAGTGCTTTCGACATTGAATGTTTGCAGATGTATTTTCACAAGTGTTTGCTTGCAATTGTTTTCATAGATGTTTATTCTCAGGAAAGTTTGTGCGAGGAAATAAATACAGTTTTGTCACGTCATTTTCTGCAGTTGTAACTAATTTCATTCTCTAAACTTTACAAGTATGTTTTTATAGAAAATTAATGCAACATCAATATAATTTGTGTTTTTATACAGTACAACTGATTTAGAATCACAAGAATACTTTTAAACGCTTAGTGTTTTCAGAGCCTATATAAATTATGAATCTTGCACATTAAAAAAACTATATTTTCAATATATTTTTAAATTTCATTGAGAGTTCACCATTTGACCACTGAAATACCATGTCCAGTCAGTTTGGATTACTAAATAAAGATTTGTAAAATTAATTATGATATAATACAAAAAAAAGTCATAAATGCAAGATATACATTTAGAATTTGTTTTCTTATAATTGCAAGTGAACATTTCGCAATTTTTTTTTTTTTTTTTTTTTTACTCAAAATTGCCAGACAAAAATCTGTATTGGTTTAGTGTTTGTTTTTCAGCATCTCTATAAATTATACATTTTAATTTTTTTTTCATTAAAATATATTAAAAGTTCAATATATTTTCATTAGGCCTATGTTTTGAAAATGTATTTAGAGTTCACATTTTGACCAATATTTTATTATTATATGTTAACATATATTTTAATATTATGTTAACATTTTAATCAAATATTCTTATGAAAATGTAAATTTTTTATGTTTTATTTTTTTAGCCAAGTTTTAATTGGCTATTTAATTTTTAAATAATTTTTATTTAATTGCACATTTCATGGCAGTGTGATTCCTGGACATAAATCGGTTGTTTTGCACAACCATCAGCAGAGGGCGACATCGCTTATATCGTCTCATTTATCATTAGTCTGTTAAGGACCTTATACACAGCTGTAAAATTAAGCTATTAAGGGATATGTGTGTCAGATAGAGTCAGTTTATTAATTATTAAGTAAACCGACTGAGACATTTCAATATAATGATTCATTCCTGATTACAGCAGATAAAGGCCTATCCTAGTTGTTATCTAACATTTTGGCTACATGTTTGGCAAAACACTATTTTAGTTCAGTGGTCATTTCAAGTAGTAAATGTCATTTTTCTCTCAGGTCCCATTTAAAAGTCATTGACCCACATGGTTCACAGACCTGACTTGCGTAATTGCACGACCTTCGCAATATCAAAAGCATTGTATTTTCAAAGACTTGACAAAGTTATAAATAAATAGGAGTTGCCTTCTGACCTTGGAGATAATTGCTGTTGAAAGCGGCACAAAATGCAATCTACGATTCATTGAACGGTTGGATAAAGGGTAAAGAGTGAACTGAATTGAACTGCCACCCGTCAGGGTCACATAAGCTTTGCCTCTTTCCAAAAGGTTAATGTTGCATATTGCGGTGCTGACGGTCCCGCTCTTTATGCATGGAGACGACAGGACTCGGGCACAGTTTGATAGTGGTAAATGTCAGGCATTCAGCGAGAGGTGACTTGTGTTTCCTGCGTTGTAACAATGAACCGCATTCTCAAATAATCCCTGAACGAGCGGGTATCTCTCACCAAAGGAAGAGATGAAATAAAAAAGACCTTTTTTCATATGACAAATGTTTGTAATGGCCCCTGGAAAGGCCTTGGCTTCCATCAGGGAAGTCTTTATCGGAGCTCTTGATGTCGGTCTGTATCTCGGCTCTCAGATCATTCCTGATATCCAGGGAGGTAAGAAGAGGCCGACCGTCCCCAGCAGGCACACGATGATGAACATCCACAGAAAGATACGGTCAATCACCATTGCCACGTATTTCCAGTCCTCCTTGACCTGTCCAAAAGTAAACACACGGTGCGATTCAAAAGTGGTCAGAGCAGGAAAACTAGAGTGGAAAATGTCATGTGAACAGCGTAATGAGGGCAGTGACAATGAAACAGGATAGTAGACTGTCAGTCTAGTTAGAGAAGAAACATGATATAATATTCACACACAAAGGGTTTAGCATTTTATTAATCAGCCACTTTAATTTCCACTTTATACTTTTTAAAAGGGTAATTGTAAGAATAGATAATTATTAGAAATGTTATTTCTAACTACAACTTGTTTTCTACAAATCATGTCTTTGTATCTCGTTTTTAAAATTATTTTATGTATTTTATTACTTTATTTCGCATACATGCAACTTTATATCTTACAATTGCATTGCGTGGCAGGTTATTTTAGTATTTTTATATTTTCAGTAATCAATGTTAGCTTCATTTTTAGTAATTTTGTTATGTGCTCTAGTCATTGTAATTTTATTTTTCACAACTACAACTTGATAAATGAGATGCATAGGCATAACTATGATGTAAATGATAAATATGACAAAAATGCAAGCTTTTGTCATAATTTTGTCTTTTATCTCAGAATTTTCACTTGGTATGTCAATGTCAACTTCCTTATAATTTTGATTATGTCAGTTTTGACATTTATCTCAGTTTCAAACTTTTATCTTACGATTTCTACCTTTTAATCGTAATTATGACTTAGTATGTATATATCTCATAATTTGACATTTTTTGTATTAATTTTGACTTATAATTACTTGTCATAATTTTAACTTGTATCTCATAATTTAAACTTTTTAATGCATATCTACTTTATCTCATAATTGTGACTTACAGTACAGTAGTGTCATAAATTTGTTTTATCTCATTATTTTGACTTATTTCATAATTTGACTTATGTAGTAATTCAATGTATCTTATAATTATGACTTAGTGTCATAATTTTGACTTTCTCATAATTGAATTTTTTAATCTCATGATATATACTGTATATAGTTCAGTCATGAAACTCTAGATGGCACATTCTGACGGGGTGTTAACGTAGCTGATGATATTCAGAGAGTTAAACGACTTGGCACAGGTATTACAGAAATCTCAGTTAGTCCCTCTGTTGTAATACTGAATATTCCTCCTTGGTTGCTTCCTATGCCTCAAACAGATTTTCATCTACAACATATGGTTAAGAATGAGAAAACGATATTGTTAGAAAACACTCTCTGTCTTGAGAATGTGAAGATAACAGGATTAGAAAGTAGAATTTAAATGTCATAATAATAGTACTGGTTGGTTTATTTATTTATGGAATTTTTTTTTTCTCCCCTCTTTCCCGTTAATGCTTCACACTCCAGTCCAGTTGGTGGCGGTAATACACCATAAGTTGGCTTGTCAACCACCATTGAATCGTACAAGAAGAAGAAGAAGAAGAAGACTTGACACAAGCTGATTGGTTCATGCTGCATATGCAGCCAATGAGCTTACTGCCTTGCATTTATATGGCTGGCTAGCATTCACTTGAGATTCCTGCAGCGCGCTTTCAGAGTTCTCTGAAACTCAACAGCTAGATAAGTAAACGGTTTTCACTCTGTTTTCTGTGCATTATTGCGTTCGTCCGATGTACATTTTTAAACTAGAAAACATAAGTTGTAAAACTACGTGCAGGGTATTCGCGTGAGGAGTAATTACTAAGCATGTATTGTTCATATAACAGCAGTGGCATTAGCAGCAGCAGCAAGCACGTTTCCTAGTTCATGTATGTGAGAATACAACGTCAAGCGCCGCGGATTTTAGAACAGTAAAGTGAATTGGGGATTACCCTATTTGCCCGAAATCTCCAATGCATTTAATATCTTCTGTGGGCATTCATTTCTACATTAACCGCGAATGGCTTGCTTTCAGATGCACATCACTAATGGGGTTGGTTTGCAGTGGCGTTTCACAGTTGTTCACAGTTTTAAGTCAAGGTGAACCCGTATAACTGTCTTTCATAAACGTCATAATGTCAACAGCCTTACCTATTTTAATGAGCAACAGAAAATAATATACCCGCTCATACATGTACTCGTGCCGCTTTGCAATGCATTTAGCCAGAAGAGGGAGTGCTCATTCTTAAAGGGGCCACACCTCTATTTCACTCGTTACCTTGGTTCAGCGATAGTGAATAGTTTATTATAAAAGTCATGTTTAGTGATAGTTTAAAGATAATTAATCATGAATTCGTTTAAAATATAAAGATACTACTAATAAATCCATGAAATTTCAGCGATAATGCATGGATGAGCTACAGCAATTCTAGTACTTTCACGGAGTGTAGCAGCAGTATCCATAGAATTTCAGATTGCGTTATTAGCGAATTATTAATAGCAGTATGCATAGCAAATCAAATTATGCGTTTAGTTGCGGCAGCAGTAGGTAGACTGTAGTTTACATTTACATTCTTATTTATTCATTTTGCAGACGCTTTTATCCAAAGCGACTTACAATTGCTGAAGTTTCAGTGACTTAAAATGGATGGTATGTGAACTCTTCAAGCGTGTAGGCATCATTTGCATTTCGTTTATTTAAAGGGGCTTATAGCAATTCTAAGTACCTTTGTGCAGCTGTAGCAGCAGCATAGTATTCAGATTGCATGTAGCTAATTTAATAGCAGCAGCATGCATAGCAATTTCATATGCAATGTTAGAAATAATATTAGCAGCAGGAAGTCAAATTATTGTTGCTAATATAGCAGCGGCAGCAGAAAGTACTTTAGTTGCTTGAAATTTCAGTGATAACGCATGGGGCAAGTAACTCTTTAACGTGAAATAGGCATTTTATTTATCTGCTTCTTTAACAGGGCTTACAGTAGATTGTGAACTTTTCAAGCCAAAATAGGCATTATTTGATTGCGTTTGCTTGTTAATAAAGACGCTTGTAGCAATTCTAAGTACTTTTGTGCAGCTATAGCAGCATTATGCATTGCATAGCTATTCAGATCACTAGTTTAGTGAATTTTAATAGCAGCAGCACGCATGGCAAAATTCAGATGCAATGTTAGAAATATTAGCAGCAGTCTGCATGGCAATCCAATTATCACTGTTGCTAATATATCAGCGGCAGCATAAAGTACATTTAGTTGCATGAAATTTCAGTGATAAGATAACGCTTGGATGGTAGTGAACTTTGTAGGTGAAATAGGCATTATATTACTTTGATATTCAGTTCAACAGGGTTTATAGAACTCTTCAAAGCGAAATA